GATGCTAAATAAATAAGAAGTTTTTTTAATTCTTCACCAGATAATTTTTCAATAGATGTTGAACTCGGAAATGTTATTATTAGATAACCTTTCTTATCAACAGCTCCTAGAATATAAATCATACAAAAAAAAAAGGTATATATTTTTAAAAAAGTAATAAACATATATACCACTGAGAAATGCATATTTTTCTTCAAGATAAGATTTTATTTCAGCTGCTTTCATCTTTTTTTAATAGTCAATATGTATAGAAACAAAGACACATCGTATGGATTAATTGAACATATTGAACAGATAGATTTTTGTTCGATGCCATTGTTATTATCATTTTAGCGCCACATTCGTTTTCCATTTCGAATTGATCCTAGCGAACTATCGTATTGATTGAATTATTAAACAACCAACGAGAATTCCTGTCGCGAGAGTTTAGTTAGATAGATAGGTGACCCTTCGAAATGCTTGCGACATGTCTCCTGTCAATCAACAATAATAAGAGTAACTATATGATTATCATTCGATGATGTTAACTATATGTATGCCAATGAATTCTATCGATGAAAGATATGTATACATATATATATATATATATATATATATCTGACAAAAGAAATATTTATTCTTCACTAAGAACACTTGTAAAACTTGGTCTACTATTTGAAAAGTTTGTCTTTTTCTTTATACAATATACTACAATAATTATTATGATTATGAGTATAATAACACCAACAGCAATACCACCATAAAATAGAATATTGTTCAAGGCTTTATTGGAACTGTCATCATCTATATGAAAAAAAAAAACATTAATGAATAAGACGTAAAACAAAAGCTATTTGTACGTACCAGAAGATGAAAGAGCAAGTGCTGTTTGTTCGTCATTCACATTGTTGGGAATGACATTGCTGTGAATTTCTATCACTTTTAAACAAAAAAAAATTTTAAATAAATGAATTAATGTTTCATTCTCGATTTTATTCAATCACAAACAATTTTAAATTACAAATTAGTTTATATGAAAACAAAGAGTTCGGACCCAACAGGGTCTAGTGTGGGTACAGAGGATAGTCACAACCACATCCTAGGCACTACGTATTGCTTTGTATAATTGTGTTACGCTACATACAATAAATTCCTAGTTCAATAAAGTTTCTTAAAAAATACTAGTCAATTTCGAGATTTTAATTAGTATCAAGTTTCTTCTATTTATATCACTCTTTATTTACGTATGAACTAATGTTCGTTGAGCCCCAGAACTTATGAAACACCCTTTATATCCTCTCAAACTTTGCCGATACGTCTTGCAATGTACATACAAGGAAAGTCATCCTATTCCCAATGATTTTTTAATGGGGGCTACATGCATCACGTAGACTCTAATGAACTATGAATACTCTAAAAAGAGTTCGGGCTCTTAACTTATTGCTGTAGAGATGAGGAGCTACCTAGATTTATCTATCAAAAGCATATACTACTTCTTAACGGTACTAAAAGAGAACGATAGTCCTTAAGAGTTAGCCGTTATTGTTAGCCTAATATCTTCCGTTTGATAATATAATGTGTAACGGGATATATAGACACATCCTGAGAAACTACCGGCAGCAATACAGTATTTTTGTGACTAAATTTTGTCATAGTCGTATCTTATGATTGGAAGAATAAAAAGATCTGTAATTCTCACAATCATTTATTCTCAATAAGACTTGTCTCTATGCAAAGTTTCAAGCCGAAATTTGAAAAATGAGTTTTTCTGATCTTTCTGAGGGAGACTACGGCATTGAATTAAAAAATGCAATATCTTCGCAGCTGTAACCAAAGGACATCAACTCTTTTCAGTAGAATTCAACAGTTTCAAGAAATATTCGGAAGTGAAACCGCGATTCGGCTTTTTTTTGAAACATCCAACCTCTATTTTTCCGAGTATTCATAGTTCATTAAGTTTTATATAATGTTGATAGGCCTGAGTCAAAAATGCGGTTGAAGGACTTTCCTCGTTATTAAATTTAGTGGATATCTATCTTCCGAAAATTCGATAATCTAATAATAATAGATTAAATCTTGTCTTGAGTACTTTCTCTCAGATATATTAATCTGTCACAGGATTCAATCATCAAAACCACTAGAAAAAAGAGATTATTCTATTCACCATTTGGTTGCTGTGAATTTTGATTTGTATTTCCACCTAGATACAAATAGAAAGATGTACATCATATGATTAGTAGAGGTTTTTTTTATTCGTTTCTTACCCAATACATTTCCTAGTGCATTAGAAATTTGTCCGACAGCATTAATTCCATTTGTGAGAGCATCTGCAGCATTATTAATACTCAAACCAGGTTTTTTTTGTGTTGTCTTTGAAGTTGTTTTTGTGGTTGTTCGTAAAGTAGTACGTTTAGTTGTTAAAGCAGGTTTTTTCGTTGAAGCTCTAATCATGATTTCTTCATTTCTATTTTTTATATCTGAACGTTCTGCATCGGCTATATTTGTTTCTAATTCAGCTTGAGCGAGAGGTGAGGCTAAATATAAGAATCGATTCGAAAATTTTTGTTTTTAAATGTTCAATAAGAATATATTAACCTTCACATATATACTGAGATTGTTGAATACATGAAACATATTGAAGACAGATAGTATTTGTTATACTATTTTGTCGTATTTGTACACAATCATAAAAATCTTCTTTTTCATCATTATTACACCATGTATATAATTCAGACCATTCTAAAAAACAGAAATTGAAAATAATTAGCTTCAACTCGAGTAAATAATTAACGACTAAAATAACAAATGATTGGAAGTAATGTTTTTCTGGTCATTGGAATCAGAAGCAATTTTGAAAAGTTTCCTGTCGTTAAGTAAAAGTGTTTAATGTTATCAGATGCATGAATGTGAACTTCGAAACAAAAATGTGATGCATGTATCCATGTAAAGAAAATAAATCTTTGAATTTTCAAGTCGTTTTTAATCAATTTCGATCCATTCCAATAGATTCTTGTTGAATATAATCGATATTTTCAATTTGCATGAAGTCCATTGCATTGAATATATATATTCTAAGAATCGATCATTTTGTTTTTCTATTGTAATTGATCGAAATCGATTAGAAATTACTTAGAAATTTAATCCATCGTGTGAAATAATGATTTTTTTTTCTTAATTTAGCACATATCTCCTTACCAAATTATATATGAAAAGAGGGAAAATCGGAGTAGATCAAGAGATGTGAACTTAGACAATGGGATATAAAATAAAAACTACTATCAAGGAAAAAAAGTAAAAGCTATTCAAAATTATTGAAACAGTCGATTTGATTTCAATCTCTTTTCTATAATGCACATATAAAATTCTATTCTCCTATAAGAAAATTAATTGCATCAAACATATTAATATTAACCATTATTTATTTGAACCCATGCACCTTGATAAAAATAAAGACTAGCAGCTAATTCATCATTCCCATTTAATAAATATTCAATTTGATCTTGCAAAGCTATAAATTCATTGACATTATTAATTACCAATGGTTGAGCAATCAATGATTTGCAAGTTTTCTTAGCTTCATACCATGTAACACCTGACGAATGACTTATAGCATATAGAAGACATTTATTTGTTTGTAATTTTAACCAACCCGGCGCACAACCATAACAAGCACGAATATCTTGACGCCAAAAATATGGTTCAGGACATGTACAAATATGACTTTCAATATTACACATTAATTCAAGATCACAATCATCATCTGTTGAACATTTTTTCTCAATTGTAATTGAAACTATCTTAATATATATATACATTAAAATCATAATTAAGTTGTTTATTATATAGAATAATTACCTGAATAAGATAGAATTAGAATCGAGATAAGAAATGAAATGATGAAGTCAAACGAAAATGATGATATTAACATAATAATATAAATTTATTATAATTTAAGATATTTATAAATATATTAAATGATTTTACATTTATAAATTAGGTAAATATAATAAATTTGGTTTCCTAGGAGGCTATTCTATTTCAAAATATAAAACTTACTATTTACAATACTATTAATATTTAGCAAACTAAGAATAGAGACACGAGCGATCGATTTATGTATCAACTTACACCTCTACCTAAAAATTTCATTCTTTGAAAATTCTTATATTGAGAAGATTCTTTTATTTTTAGTAAACAAAAACCTCATATCAAAGATAATGATTCTTTCTTTCCATCTTAATTATTACTTACAAGTGATATTGAAATAAAAAAAAAACCATGAATATAACAGATAATATTATCGTACTTTCAGTATAATATTTGCATTGAATATTTCATCAATGATATATCTTTATTTATCTATTAACAAATCATATATATAATAGAATAATTCACAACAAACAGAAATTTTTTATTATTTTGTTCTTCTCCTACGTTCATTATTTACACATACATTGTTCTATTGGATAAATGATTTTTTTTCGATAAAAAATAAACTGACGAGGAAAGTCTTCCAATTGATAAATCGCTTTTGAGTCGAGACTATATGCATTATGTAGACCCGAATAAGCTATGAATACCCTGAAAAGAATTCGTGCCTTTACCGTATTACTGTGGAGATACTGCATTTTTATGATATGTTATAAATAAGTACCCTAGTGGCAGAAAAACTGATTTTCTAATATGGACTTGAAACTTGCCATAGAGACAGGTCTTAACGAATGTAGTTGATTGTGAAAGTTTCATGTTTTTTGATTTGCTTCTATCCTGAAATAGGAACATCAAATCTGCCGGTTTTATGAGCTATGTAAAAGACACCCTATTACCATAGTTGTATCTTAATATAGGAGTAATAACAACATCTGAAACATTCACATAAAGTTAGGTCTGTTTCTGTGCAAAATTTCAAGTCGAACTTTGAAAATCAATTTTTCTGTTACGATAGCATTCATTTAAAAAATGTCGTAGATATGCGCCCAGGTTAAACAATTCGACGGTAAAATCTTGTAAGATCGTACTTCTGATCTTTTAAGGTCATATGAAAGTCGTACAGAAAATCTTAGTCTCGTGATATCTTACAAGAATCGTGTAATATGATTTAATATAATATTTTTGAGTCTACGATTTTTTTGTATGATTTCATCTGATCTTGCATGATCTTATGTCTAATTTTTTGACCTGCGCAGCATCTCAGCAGCAATACTCTTAAGAGTCCGAAATCTTTTCAGAGTAATCATAGCCCACTTGGATCTGCATAATACACAGTGTCGAATAAAAAGCGATTTATCAGTTGGAGGACTGTTCTTGTGCATTACGTTTTTCGAGTTTTTTTAATTAGACCGACGAAATAATTTTCAATTATCTTTTGATAAGAACTTAGTACAGTAATGAATTGAAGTTACATTGGCTTTTTCCCTACCATTTGTTGTCACTTTTCAAAAATATTTTTTGTAACAATATACTGCGGAAATCTTATGTATATTAAATTTTGTTTTTTTGAAATATCAAAATGATCTGGCTTTATTGATTCTTTGACGCTTATGTGTGATAAATTTGTTATATTGTTTGATTGATGTCAACAAACGACTACATGGTCAAAACTGGTAGATAAAAGAAATTGACAACTGTCTATAATACAATTATATATGCATATCAAACAGATCCAATGCTATATTCAGGGTCGATGCACTTGAAGATTATTGTCATGGATGTATATAAGAATTCTGCAAATGCACAATAACAGAAGTGCTTTGAAGGACAAAAAACTATAGTTTGTGATGTTTCTATTGAACTATTACAAATATGTCAAAAACATTTCGACTAATAGTGTAGCATCGACATTATCTGCATCAATATTTTCTGACACAAAAGATAATTTTCAAGAACAATGTCAAATTGAGTGAAAAGAATTAAAATATTAAAAAAAAAACATAATGCAAAAATATCTTAAAAATTCGAATGTCATATGATTTAATATAGGCGATGAAATAATGTTAATAAGTCTTGCTAGTCTTCCTTGTGTAGATGATTCGAAAATGCTTCTCTATAAATTAGAAGAGAAACATTGACCGTCAATGAAAATAAGTAGATGATATTTAAGTTTCACTTGATCGTGAAGTACGGTGCCAACCTACGAATATCTATTGTCGGAAAAACCAATTCCTCATAAAAAAAAAGACGAATAATCGTTTATGCGATTTATCGTAAAGCGTTTGGATTCGTCATGTATTTACGTTTTATTAGAATCAAGAACTTTTTTGTCATTGAAAATCGGAAAAATTGCGTTTTCATCATTCTACTAATTAAAGTCAAAATGAAAGTGAAGAGTATCCATTGCGAAACTCATGATTAAGAGAACTCTAGTAACGGATATAAATATGATTTCAGCTGTATTCATAGCGGTCTTAGCTATAAGCAAAGATCATGATGGCTAATCTTTGTTGCTGTCTTCGTTTTAATAACTTCGAAGCTTTTAAGAAAATCCACAAAAACTTACTTTTTCAGCTGATTTTCTGAAAGAAAATGGAACGTCATATGAAAGACTAATAAACGGATGCTATCGATTTGATCATGAAATTTCATTCTCACGTTTTGAACGAATATTTTCTAACTTTCGCTTCTTGAGATCATTACGACAGAAAATGACAACTTTTGATGCCTATGTTGAGAAAGAAGGAAAGGTTGCTGTTTTATTTTTAACGAAATTTATTTTTCTCATAAATGTTGACTTCAATCAATTTTAAAGGTCACTCAAATATTTATCATCGTTATACTCCAGAAGGATTATTCGAACATATTATCGGTCAACCAACAAATAAAATCTTTACTGGTTTTAACTAGTTTTGTTTTTGTTCACAGTCAGATAAATAACCCTATGACAGTATTCGATACTGTTGATGAATCAAGTTTAATTGAAAAAAAAGTTCTTCATCGAATATTTCTTCATCGAATATTTCTTAATATTGGTCAAAAATATTATTGATCTACTTTGATTTAAATCTGTTAGTCTTGATAATTGATTACCAACAATTGAATGTGATCTTAATATAGAAATAGTTGTAGGAAATTATATTTTTGAAAGATGACAAAATCATTTGATTTGTTGAACTAAGTATAGAATATTCTTTTATATTTCTAGTATTGAACTCATTGACTGAATATAATTCAACAAGAAAATAGCTTGAAAGACTTGTTTCTTGAAGATAAAATGAAGTTTACTACAGATTTATTTTTATTTAATTAGATACTTTTCCATATATGAAAATAATCTTGATTAATTTGTTCAACTAAAATCCATAAAAATCTCATATTCAAATACCTTTATTTAATGTGAAAAGAAATTAAAGATAAAATTATATATAGCTTAGCTAATCGTTTAAGATCAACAGAGTAAATCTTAATGAAACATCATTCAGATCCCATCATGCTAGACTTTAAATTACATTGATTACAATGAATGAATTTAATGAAGAGGCAACTGTGACTCATAAATGTACAGGGATGAAATTCTTCTTCGTTTACTTTTCTAGTTTTATTTCTTAATTAGATATTTGTGATTTAACTAGTAATGAACTATCAGCTGATACTTGAAAACAATTGATTCAAACTGTTCATATTAATACATGAATAATGACATGTAAATATTGTTATGTAAGTTTTAAATGAAAATTAAACAGCGACTCAATAATGTACATATAATGATGAATAGTTGGATTAATGTTAAAGATGTTTCTTGAAAAGAAAATAAATGCTTGTGCCGAATCGACATAGCATTTTTAACAAATATTTTTTATTCGTTGATTTCTTTTTTTGGTAGTCATGGGGAATGATTATTTTTTGGAATGTTAATTGTTGTCATTTTTGAGCTTTTCTAAAAGTAGTACAAAGATAAGGAAAAAACTATAAAGTTTCATTTTCGTTCAAAAAGATATTTCACAGGCAAAAGAAGAAATCGAAATACAATTTTAAAGTTCTAAAACTTCGATCATAGACTTAAGAAAACAAATCAATATACTTACTCTAGTACACTTTTTTCAACGATGATCATTGTTGAATGAATAGGTACATCAATTTTTGAAATCGAACATATCTTATTTATTGAAATCATTTAGAATGATCATAGCTATATGCTTCATCGGTTCATTAATCATTTTATAACAATCACACTACTGCACTAACGTTTTTCTTTTTTTCTCTCTCGTTAAATAATTAATTTATAGGCATAATCATCTGCATATGAAGAAAAAAACTACACAATTGTGAATTTCGCTTTAAAAAAATCATCTTCTTCAATCGTATATAATATGATTGTTTTCAATATATTCATTCATTATTTTTCTCTCTTATGTATTATATGAATTATTTCCATGTATAGTTAAATTAGTCTTTCTGTTCTAAACGTAACAATAATTCAACTGTAAATAGAAATAAATCATTGAATTGATAAGCATTCTTGTCTTTATGCAATGAAATATTGTTACAGTGGAACAGATAGAATAATTTATTACATGAATCAAATATTTTTCTTTTTTTTCTTCTGTTTCAAGCTGTTAGATGGCTCTATACTCGATACAGAGAACCTCTTCTTATTAAAACACAAACTA